CCTCGATCCCAGGACTCCGGGATTGTGACCTGAATGGAAAGCAGATACTTAACCGACTGAGCCACCCAGGGGCCCCGTCTCTCTCTTTTTTTTTTTTTAACATTTAAGTTCACTGAAAATCTTCCCACTAAGTTTTGATGTATATAAACATATGAGGGGCTGGGGAATCCATGAGAATAAGGCTAGGTCCTTGTACTGGAACTCCCAGAGAAGGTATTGTCTGGGTGTAAGGTATCAGGTATCCTTGAGGCAAACCCAGCTGCATGCGTATGCAACCGATTAAGTCAAACAGGACCCTATGATCAGAGGGCTCTTCACTTGGTTTGGTGCTCTGCTGTCACCATCTTGAAATTCTTAATCATTTCATCTTTCAACTTGTGTTTTTTAAGTGAATTCCTTTGGGACAATGGAGCATGCACATGAACAGAGGAAATCCATGCAGTATGCATGTCCATCCTGTTCTGGCTGCCTCATCCAAATGTAACATTCGTGGTGCCCCACGAGTACAGAATCCAGTGGATCAACAGTCTGTAGGAGTTCACAGAGACTCAAAATGACTTCAAAGGAATTGTGTCATGAAAGCCACTGGCTTCCACAGAATGTTGGGAAAATCTGTGTGCCTCAAGAAATAAAATAAAGAGATACGTTCATTAGATTACTCCTTTCTGCCTGTGGACACCACCAAGTAAGCATCATTAAAGTCTCCCCTCCCACCCCTGTCATGTCTAAGTCAGAGTCTCCCAAAAAACCTGAACAGCTGCAGAAGCTCTTCATCGGTGGTTTGAGCTTTGAAACAACCGTTGAGAGTCTGAGGAGCCATTTTAGCAATGGAGAATGCTTACGGACTGTGTGGTAATGAGAGATCCAAAGCACCAAGCACTCCAGAGGCTTTGGCTTTGTCACGTATGTCACTGTGGAGGAGATGGATGCAGCCATGAATGCAAGGCCACACAAGGTGGATGGAAGAGTTGTGGAACCAAAGAGGGCTGTCTCAAGAGAAGATTCTCAAAGACCTGGTGCCCACTTAACTGTGAAAAAGATTTTTGTTGGTGGCCTTAAAGAAGGCACTGAAGAAGATCATCTAAGAGATTATTTTGAACAGTATGGGAAAATTGAAGTGATTGAGATCACGACTGACCAGGGCAGTGGCAAAAAGAGAGGTTTGCTTCCCTTCTTTTTTTTTTTTTTTAATGTAGAATTATTTATTGACATGTAAAGTTACTCATAATGTTAAATTAAAAAATCAAATTACAAAATAGTAGATATAGCATGATCTCATTTTTATAAAAAGAATAGCTATGTATATAGACACCTTGATCTAAACGTTAGCAGTGATATGATTATCGATGATTTTATTTTCTTTGTAACTCTTCATACTATCTAAATTTTAAAAATAACGTTCATTTGATTCATTATTTTCTAATTACATGATTCTCATTTTGAAAAAATCGAGTAGATTTAAAACAATTTCTTGTTTGTTATAAAATTTCACTTGGACATACAGTAGTCAGTTAGACAACATTAGAAGCAACCTGGATTTCTGAATGCAAATTAAAACATTGGATTATATTCACCTTGATGCTATTTATGATTAAAGTGGGCCTCTTACAAAATGATCATTATGGTACCTTCATTTCTGTATAATATTTATTGTTTTAATGTCCATAATTATCCATTAGACTCTTCTCTTTCCTCTTATTCACATTCCTTCTCAGGATATGGAGAATGGAATACATTATCCTATCCTATGTTTTAGATGTTTGAAAGTAGCAAACACAAATCAGCCGCCCAGCATTCTGGCTCCAGGTCCTCAGCACACGCCCTGCAGCCATCTTACCCAGAAAATGAGGTTTTGCTTCTGTAACATTTGATGACCATGACTCTGTAGACAATATTGTCATTCAAAAATCCCATGCTGTGAATGGCCACAAATGTGAAGTAAGGAAAGCCCTATCTAAGCAAGAGATGACTAGTGCTTCATCCAGCCAAAGAGGTGGAAGTGGTTCTGGAAACTTTGGTGGTGGTCATGGAGGTGGTTTTGGTGGGAATGACTTTGGTCATGGAGGGAACTTCAGTGGTTGAGGTGGCTTTGGTGGCAGTGGAGATGGTGGTGGATCTGGTGCAGTGGGGATGGCTATAACGGATTTGGTAATGATGGAAGCAACTTTGGAGGTGGTGGAAGCTATAATGATTTTGGCAATTACAACAATCAATCCTCAAATTTTGGACCCATGAAAGGAGGAAATTTTGGAGGCAGAAGCTCTGGCCCCTAAGATAGTGGAGGCCAATACCTTGCCAAACCACAAAACCAAGGTGGTTATGGTGGTTCCAGCAGCAGCAGTAGCTACGGCAGTGGCAGAAGGTTTTAATTACTTCCAGGAAACAAAGCTTAGCAGGAGAGGAGAGCCGAAGAAGAGACAGGGAAGCTACAGGTTACAACAGATTTGTGAACTCAGCCAAGCACAGTGGTGGCCGAGCCTAGCTGCTACAAAGAAGACGTGTTTTAGACAATACTCATGTGTATGGGCAAAAAACTCAAGGACTGTATTTGTGACTAATTGTGTAACAGGTTATTTAAGTTTCTGTTCTGTGGAAAATGTAAAGCATTCCAACAAAGGGTTTTAATGTAGTTTTTTTTGTAGCCATGCTGTTGATTGCTAAATGTAATAGTCTGATCATGACACTGAATAAATGTCTTAAAAAAAAAAGAAGTAAAATAAAAAGTTAAGTTAGTTTTTTGCATGATTTCTACTTTTCTAGCAAAAACAAAATGCATATGCCTGTATAAGCTACCAAATATGAATTGAGTAATTTCAATTATTGAAAAAACTTTATATTTTAGTACATTCAATGGCACTTTTTTCCTGCTTTTTGAACAAGGGGCCCCACATTTTAATTCTGCAGTAAGTCCAACAAACTATGTATCTGGCGCTGGCTTGAGGGAAAGAGGCAGGGAACAGTTGGTGCCAGTGACCTGGGCTGTCAAAGGTAGTATTTGCCTCTGGTCTTCAAGTAACTGGATCCAATCGAAACAGGATGCCTGGAGAGGTGTGCCTGTTCCTTAGCAGGCAAGGACTATGCTTATTTTTTTATATGAAGTGACATTTCTTTCCTTTTACTGCTTTCCCCCAGAAATGCTCTTTGATTCCATTTGTGTGCGTGTGTGTGTGTGTGCATGTCCCTTCAAAAACACCTCCTCTGCCACGAAAAAGTGAGGGAAAAGGGAAGGATGCTGCATGTAGAAAAGAGACCTAAACAGTCCCACTGGAAGATGCCAGCCAGTCAGAGGTGAGGCTGGGATGGAACCACAGGCTGGACTGAAGGGGATGGTGGGAGACTTAGGGAGTCCAGGCTATGTTGTGGTAACAAACAAAAACCAAACTTTCCTATGCATGTCCTGTGTAGACCAGGCAGCCGCTTGCCATGTGATGGCTTGGACCCAGGCCCTTTGCATTATGTGGCTCCACTTCTCAGAGTCCCTCACTTCCTGGCACATTAATTCCATCCATTTTCTATTGGCTAAAACCAGTCACATGGCCCCAACTAAATAGAAAGGGAGCTGAGAAAGGTAGCTTTTCTATTGGCCCATGTATTAGTCAGGGTTCTCCAGAGAAACAAACCAATAAAAGCTACGCACACATGCGCACACACACAAAGATTTATTATAAGGAATTGGCTCATGCAATTATGGAGGCTTATAAGTCCCAAGGTCTGAGTCATCAGACCGGAGACTCAGGATTGGTGATGGCATCTGAAGGCAGGAAAAAAATCCAAATGTCCCAGGTCAAAAGCAGTCAGGCAGAAGGAATTCTTCCATACTTATGGGAGGGAGAGCCTATTCACACCTTCACCTGATTTGATGAGGCTCACACACATTAGGGAGGATAATCTGCTTTACTCAGGCTACTGATTCAAATGTTAATCTTATCCAGAAAACCCTCACAGACACACACAAAATAATGTTGGGCCAAACATCTGGTCACCTCTGGGTCCCAGTCAAGCTGACACATAAAATTAACCAGGACAGCCCAGGAGGAAAACGTGAGTTTAGTGAGCACACAGCGTGTTTTGACACAGAGGAGGGCTGGATGGCAGGGAAGGCTGGTTTGATGTAGACAAAAAGTGATCTGTGATGGGACAGTTCCCTGAAGGGGGAATACATCCTTCCTTGAGTGACCCTCTCAGCTCCAGGCCCATGAAAGCCTTGGAGGAGAGGAACACACAAAAGAAATCCCAGGTGTTCTGTCAGTGCTGGGCCTGGGGGCTCCTACCTTCCTGTAATGGAAGACCCTAGTGAGAACATTTTGTTATCTGATGGTTTAATTAGATCCCGTGACACAGGTAGGACTTGAAGAGTTGCCCACAAAGGAAGTAGTGGTGCTCGGCTCCCCAGGAAAGGCTTGGGAGGGACCCTTTTTATGTGGCAAAGCTGCATGCTCACTCTTGAGGGGTAAGCGTGACCCCATATTCCCAGGAAACCTAAAGAGCATGCTCCTCAGAGAGGAGGCCAGAACTTGGGTGGGGGTTGGGGGGGGGAAGGCAAAGCTAGAAGGAACCCCAGGAGATTTGGCATGGATGTGGGACCAAGAGTCAGAGATGGCACAAATTAACTCTTCAGACACAACAACATGTTGTGTTGGATCTTCCCCTTTGTATCCCGTTTGTCTGGGCCAATGGAGCAGACATTGTCTGACCGTTTGACGTTGATGGTCACATCGTTTATTTAAACAAGGGAACTTTGCATAGTGTGATCACATCTTTTGGTGGGAAAAATATATGTGTATCTATGTATTTGTGTTGGAAAATAACTAGGAGATATAAAATAAAATATTAACTGTAGTTTTTAAAAAGTTAATTTGAAAATACTTGTAGATGCTTCAATAGCACACTTTCTACCATCCCATGTAGCCAGAGCTCCTGTCTTGGTTAACAGCGCGGTTGCTGATGAAGGCAAGACCCAGCTGTCTTGAAGTTTCACTCTTGAGTTAGAAGAGCTTGTCTCAGGTCCATATGAGGCCAGGGACAATGGGTACCATGACCATTAGCCATGTTGCAATCCAAGCTACTCCAGAGGATCTGGCTGAAAGAGCAAGAAAACTCCAAATGCTTAGGTGTCTTGACTTTAGGGAAGGTAGGACTACTTCCCCTCTCCATTTCTCCACCCCACATCCCATCTGTACCAAGAGGGAAAAAGAGAACGAAGGGGAAGACTGATAGGAAGGGAAGGGGAGAGAAGGAATAAGAACAGAGGCGATGGAGGAGAGGACAGGAGAAGAAGCAGTAAATAAAAAGAAAAGGGAATGAGTGATACAGTTGGGAAGGGAAATTAGGGGTTCTTTTCTAGGATAATTTGGATGGCTGAAAAGTGACAAGATGGGCTTAGCCCTTCAAAAAAAGGGCCTTATTATTGTTTTCATCCTCATTGTAGATGAGTAGTCACCCTCATTTTATAAAGGACGGGGACTATGTCTCTTCCTTTTTCTGGATCTCAGGATATGGTGTTGATATAAAGGTGGTTTCATGGTCAGACGCCGAACTGTTGCATAGGGTCTGTGGTAGCAGGAGAGACTAGAAGAGGCATGGCCAGTCAGGTGGGAAGAATAAAGAAGAGTGTACAGGTTCCATGGTCCGTGTGCAGGAACAGAGGTGAAGAAATCAGCACGGTGGGAGAGTAGACCAGGTCCAGGAAGACCATGAAAGATCAGTGTCTCTGGGGGCCATGGTCCCTGATGCCTGGCATGACAGGGAACTCAGATAAATGTTGGCACCACAGATATGAGTTATTCTAGAAGGATATGGACATGTATACTCGGGGATATGGTTTCAGGGGTGTGGAAAGTACAAGACCAAGAATGCTGGGTTTAGTAATCTAAATTTATCGAGGGGTCCCCCAAGCCCCCAGTGTCTCCAGAATTGAAGGAACTGGTTCTAATTTAAGTACCATTCACTGAAGACCTGTTGGGCACTGTTCTAGATAGGGTATCTGTACTGTCTCATTTAGTCCTCATAACAGCATGAGGTAAGAATTACCATTTTGTCTGTTATTTAAGAAGGATACAACTTGGAGAAGGACATGACTTGGAGAAGCTAAGTCACTTGCTTAGCTATTAAGTGACAATCCCAGGATTAACCCCAAGTACCTAACTCCAAAACCTATGAGCTTACTGCCCAATCATGGTTATCCCACTACAGGACCTGTGTAAGCTTGACAGAGAGCCAGCAATGATGCTCAAGTGAGTGGGTCCTCCCAAGAGACAGAGAAATCTGAAACATGAAACCCAGAGTCTGTCTTTCTAAAAAGCAGAGAGTCTCTGCCTTAGGATAAGGTCCTCACTCTTGTTCACTACTTGTTCTTACTTGTGCTCATCTACTTGGCCCTTCTTTCTTTTGCTGATTTAGGCTGTCTGCCAGAAACCCTTTCATGTACCTGTTCAACTGTGTCTGGTCTGCTCTCCCACTTGGGCTTCTCTCCTGCTCAACCCTGACAGCTCAGATTGTCCTACAATTACCCAGGCCTCAGATTCTAGGACCATGCATTGTTAGAGCAGGGTAGGAGTGCCAGCCACCCCTTGCAGGTGAGGACAGTGAGCTCCACAAAAGCCAAATAAGCTTGCTGAGAGCTGGCGGCAGAGCCTAGGGTAGAACCCAAGTCTCTCAGGTCTCACAAAGGCCTTTGGGATCTTCCATCTGAGCAGGAGGCTGAATAGTATCCCCACACCTTTCTTCATTTCATGCAAAAGGAAACTAGTTACCCTAGCTCCCCCCCCCCCAACCGCCGCCTCTCCCTGGAGAGTATTTCTTACCTAGTTTACAAGGTAAGGTGAAATAGACAGTATCATTCTTGCTGCTCACAGGATTGCTGGCTTGGCAGGTGTAAAACTTGGAGTAGTTTTGTGGCTCAACGGTGATTTCAAGCACAAAATTCTGGAGCCCTGTTGAAAAGGGCCCTAAGTCCCCATACCAGGTATAGTTTATGGACTGGTTTGGGATCATACATGACAGCTGCAGATGACAGCCATTGTTCACTTTCTGTGTCTTCCGGATTTCTATGTCAGGTTTAGGTACAGGATCTGAAGATGAGGAGGATGTTGTAAGATGAGACAATGGGTTTATGCATATATGAGGCAATTACGCTTTGAGAGTTTAACCAATAAAATACAAAGGGAGCTAGGGAGGGGCGCTGAGTGCTGCAGAAAGTGGTGTCATGGAGAAGAGGCCCCTTCAGGGGGAGCCAGTGAGCAGCTTTGATCTCTGGAGGTTCAGACTGGAAGGGCTACTCCTTGGGGGTGAAGCTAAAATGGATCCAGGAGGGGGAGCCATGCACCCAGAAACAAAATGGGGTTATGACTATCTGTGGGCCAGAAAGAGCAGCAAAGATCTCATGGGGTCAGATTTAGTATCCCAACTGTCTGAGCTACGTGAAGTTTCTTCTCCAGCACTGGCCCACAGTTGGCACCATGGCCCGCATGTCCATCAAGAGCTCTTGGACTCAGATTCAGCAAGAGTCCTGGGGTAGGAGGTACACAGCAAAGCCCTCTCCTGGATTCTGGAAGAGCTACAAAGAAGAACTTCATGTAACCCCCAGCACACATTAGCGTGATGAATAGCACTGTGTCTGTTAACTTTGGTATATCAAGGTTTAGCACAGTGCTTATCAGATAGAAATCTGTAAGTATCTGATGAAAGGATTGGATGGATGGATGGATGGATGGATGGATGGATGGATGGATGGATGAATGGTTGGATGGGTGAGTGGATGGATGGATAGATGGATGAATGGGTGAGTGGATGGATGGATGGATGGAGCAGTTATGAGATACAAAGGACAAAACAGTAGCTTTGGAGTAAGACCAGCCTAGGTCTTGGAATTGGCTCTCATGGAGTTACAGTATCAAAATAATTAACCCCTTGAATTTTCTTCTCATGGGTAAACTGACTCTACCTCATAGCACAATGTTAGTGAGATAAAATGGCATTGTCCATGGGGAAGTACTTCTTGCAGGGTGCAAGCGTTCTATGCGTGTCGGAGGTCATCTTATCACCGATGTTGTCCTGCCACCAGATGGAATGAAAGGTAATCCCAGCATCTGCTTTTTCCTCTGTCAGGGCCACTTTTTCTGAAACCCTCTGGGCCTTTTCATTCTGGCCATGGGTAAAACACCTACAGAATCAGTGCTGCTCTGGTGGTAAAGGATTAAACGTGCCAAGAATTGCCGAGATCAGAGCTCACCTCTGGCTGCAAGTGTGTGGTGGGCAATGGCAGTTTCACCTGCCTGGCCTCCTGAACTCTAGAACCATCTCCTAAGTGAAACCCCCTGAGATTGCTGGACTTCCCCTGCATGCTTGAACTGAACAATTTTCATACTATTTTTCGCCATTTCCTGTGGTCTAGCCTCTTGTCTTGTAACATCTTCCACATTTCACATGGCGAGCAGCACGTACTGTGTGCTTTGTGGGTGGGGCTCATTGAGCCAGTCAGTGTAGTCTGGCTCTAGGATGCCTTACTAGAGCTATCAGAAATTCAGGGGCTGTACTGGAGAAGGAGCTTGCAGCTAATCCCATCCTCAGGGTTTTATGTCCAGGCAGGTGTGCTTACAGTCACACCAGCTTGTGGAATTTAAAATATTCAGGAATGTTGCAAGCAGGTTGTGAAACCATTTGTAATTTGGAGTTGGCTGTGGTGGGAGTATTTACCACAGAAATTAGTAAATGATAAAAAGTTGGGCTTTTCCTAACACCACTGTAAGAGACTTTGAATCTTTTCCTTTTCCCAGGACTTCCCCGAATTTTCAGGCCATGTGACTTGGAGGAAGTACGTGAGGAGAAGGCTCCAGCCTCTTAGAACAGGGACCATTGAGCTGGTGGGTTGTAGAAGACACTCTTCATTTGCACTGTTTGGGGGTAGAAAGATTACAGATATTTTCTGAGTATTTTCTAGAGATTTTGTATTTGTATTTTTGGTAATCATCTGGTAGAAGGAAACTGCATGATAAAATGATTTGGTTTGGGAAAGACCCCTTGTTTTCATTTTTGATGTTTCAATCCCATTTTCTACTTTGATTCTCATAATATCCTAAAAGGAAGATATAATTATCTTCACAATATGAGGGCCCCGAGGCTCTCGGGTAGACCCTGTCTTGGATGTCTGCCCCGCCCTTCTTCTCTAATTTTTGCCTACCTCAACACCACAGAGGCCTCCCCAGGAATCATGTTTCTGCCTTAAAATCTGACACTTTGGGCCATAAATATTTTGATCAGGTATGCATACCTGAACCAAGTTGGCTTAATCAGTTTCTCTCTTTAAATTCTGAGAATTTAAACCAAGAGTTAAAAAGTCTGGGCTTTGAGAGGTAAGTCATGTACATGGCGGGGATCAAAAGAGGCACAGTCCACAGATTCCTGAGGCTGGGGACTCTGGGCTGGCCCTGGTTCTCATTCTTCCTCTTGTTCAGCCCTTCTTAACTCTTCTCAGTTCCTTGAATTGCTTTAAATAGTTCTAATTTCTTTAATAGACTCTTTTTTTTTTTTTGCTAAATTTACATCAAATTGGCTTCTGTTACTTGCCATCAAAACAAACTTACCAAATATGGGCACAGAGACGTTATGATCTTTCTCCAAGGTCACACAGCTAGGAAGTGAGCTAGCAACCAAGGTTTTTAACCCAGGTCTGTCTGATTCCAAGTAGAATATCCTAGTCCTTACCCCACACATACCGGTTAGGCTGGAGCTATGAGTGTAAGTTTATGTCCCATCCACTTTGAAAAATAAAAAAACCCTCCTTTAATAGCTCCTGCCCCATCCTCTGTCTCTTACAACTTTTTCCTTAAGTCTGATGAAGTCTGTGTTCAGGTATATTATTAAGATGAGCTCAGAACTGATTTGGGTTGGTCACAGGAGAGCATGAAGAGACTAGAGAGGAAATCATTTCTATGGTTTTCCCTTTCTTCACATCTCAGACACTAACATCAGAAGAACTTTTAAATGTCCCAGGGCTATCAATTTGGGTTCTGCTGGCCCAGCCTCACTCCCCAGAGGAACTGGCTCCAGGAGAAATGAATGAAGTCTGCCTTGAGGTTTCTCTATCCTCCTCCCAGAGAGGGCCCCCATGTGCCCTAGGAAACCTCCCAGTGGTCCATCCAGGGCCCTAGAGGGGGACTCCCCAGACTCACCATGTACCTCCAGTGAGATATGCCAATCCTTCTCTGTCCCAGACTCATCCAACATCCTGAGGATGTAGGTGCTGCTGTCCTCTTTCTGGACATTATAGATGCACAGTGCATGGCTTTGATTAAGTCGAACCCTGTCCTTAAACTTAGACTTGAAGAAGCTAGTCCTGTTGGACTCCCATTCTAGAATCTTCTGATTGGTGGTGTAAAGCCAGGTGAGTTGTTTGTAGTTAGCAGGAAAACTGGAGATTTGCAGACTCACATTGCTGCCTGAGATGGCGGTCACTGGATGTTCCAAATGATCTGTCAATGAGAGTGACAGCCTTCTTAGAGAGGGCAGAGGGGCCCAGCAGCCAAAGCTTTCGCCTGACCTGGTGCGACAGGGAAGAGAGAGGAGGTTTCTGCTTGGAAACGGTAAGTATGGTCTTCACCAGAGGGTCTGGCCTCTGATCAGGAATTCAGTAAAAGTTGGAGCTTGAGGGTGGGTAAGGGGGTAGGGCATGTTGCTGATAATCCTTCTAGTTCTGCCCAGAAGATAAAGACAAAGGACACTGATGCTGGCCCCGACACTCTCCCTTGCTCTCATGCCAGTAGATTTTCAAATAAAATGATGACAAGTCACATCCCCTCTCTGGGCTTGTGTTCCCTGTTGCTTCGATTTACTTCTCTAGCAGTAGGCAGGAAGTAGAAGAGAAGAAACAAAGTTTGAAGTGAATGGAAGCCAGAGCTATTCATTAGCAAAGTATTATAGAAGCATGAAGGCATTTCATTAACAAAAATAGTATGCTATTTTTCTGGCATTCGTAGTATTTCTCAGCTTTTTAGAACTTGTAATACATTGGGGTTTCTTTTCTCATTCTAACTGAATTCACTTTTGTTCCTATTTGTGTTTGCTGTTCTGTTCTTTTTTCATGAGGGTGCCCAAACCTTGTCTGGTTAAGGCAAAGAAAAGATGACAGCAGGAAGATCCAAGATGAAGGGAGGTGTGTTGACTCTTTGTGGAGGAAGAAGAACAAAGGAGGTGGATATAGTTAGGTATCTATATATAGGCTAAGAAAGAACAGTAGAAAGAAGCTACCTATAGAGGAAAAAGGAAATACGACCTATATTATTCTGACCTCATCTACTGTCACACGAAATCTCAGTAATATTGTTCAATATCATATATACATCCAGCTGTTCACTTTCCACAAATCTATCATTTCCAAAAGCATTCTCTTCAACTAATAAAAGATTGAAAATGAATTAAAAAAAAGATTGAAAATGCCTGTGTCCCCAGGGCTTTCAAGTTTCTATTTATTAATCCTTCCCACCATCCATCTCTGCCTTCAACACTTTACTGAGCACTTATCCTGTGCCTAGTGCATATGCAGACATACTTAGGCTTTCATTGTCACAGTGCTTCTGTTTCCATTCCACACATTATCATCTCTGTGACATAAACAATTCAGTGCCAGTAATGGTATTTGAACCACCACTAATGTGCCTGGCACTGCGTGAGGCTCTAGCATCAGCAATACAGATGGAAGCTCTAGCCTCTTGGAGCATGCAGCCGAGCAGGACATTCTCTTCAGGATTTTAAAATCACCGGACATATATTCTAGATTTGTTCTCATTCTGTTACTTGTTTCCATGTGAATTAATAGAAGTCGTGACAATAGACAGCCTAGATCAGTGTTTTCCAACCTTGGCACTACTGACATTTTAGGCCAGATAAGTTTCTGTTGTGGGAGCTGTCATTGTGCATTGTAGGATGTTCACCAGCATTTCTGGCCTCTGCCCACTAGAGACCAGTAGCACTTCTCCAGATGTGATAATCAAAATGTCTCCAGGTATCGCAAATGTCCCACCCCCATTCTGGGTGAGAACTACTGCCTAAGTCATCCTTGGCAGACTCCAGTAAGTGTCAGACATATGCTCAGGAAGACAGCACAACTTACAATTAACCCCCTCTTTTATTTCTCAGTAAGAAGTGATGGCCAACCACCAGAATGACCTTTTGGTAATCATACACATAGGTAGTGAAGAAGAGAGGAAGGAAAGATACAACATCCTGTGCATGTCTATATCTTAGCAATCATGTTATATTGAAATGATCTGTTTAATGTCTACTACCTGCTTCTATCACCAGACTATAAGCTTCCTAAAGACAACAAATGAGTCTTATGAGTCTAATTCATTTTCCATTATAGTGTGATAGTTAAGAGCATGGGTTCTGAAATCAGACTGCCTTGGTTCAAATCCTGGCTCTACCACTTGCTAGCTATGTAACCTTGAGCATGTTACCTAATCTCTCTGTCTTTGTTTTGGTTATTATCTCATAAAGTTTGTAATGGTTAAGTTTATGTGTCAACTTGACTGGGTTAAGGGGTGCCCAGATAGCTGGTACAACATTATTTCTGGATGTGTCTGTGAGGGTGTTTCTGGAAGAGATTAGCATTTGAACAGGTAAACAGAGTAAAGATGATCACCCTTACCAATGCGGTAGGCACCATAACCCAAAAAGAACAAAAAAGCAGAGGAAGGGCAGATTTACTCCTTGCTTGAGCTGGGACATCCATCTTCTCCTACCCTTGGACATTAGTGTTCCTGGTTCTTGGGCCTTGGACTTGGACAGGGACTTACACTATTGGGTCTCCTGGTTCTTGGGCCTGCAGATTTGGACTGGAACTCCACCACTGGCTTTCCTGTGCTGCCAGCTTGTAGATGTCAGGTTGTGGGACTTCTCCATATAGAGAAGTACACAGTATGGGTTATGCTTCCATAACTGCATGAGATAATCCTTCATAATAAACCTCTTTCTATATATTTATATATAGACTATTTGCTCTGTTTCTCTGAAGAACTCTAATACAGAGTTACATTAATAAAATGCTTAGAATATAACTTAATACAAATAATCAATTAATACAAATAAAGTGCATAGAACAATACTTGGAAGATTAGTAAGCATTCAATAAAGGTCATGTATTGTTTATTATTATTACCTACATTTTTTTTTGTATCCATAACACCTAGTTCTATGCCTAAGTTATTAAGATGTTTGACAACTGCCTGTTGAACTTATTTTATTATACCAAAACAGTGGTAAAATAAGGACTAGACTAATGATACATTTTTTAGAAATGGATGTTCATATGTGAATCCGAAAGATTGAAGAATGTGAAAGAAGGGGCCTAAAATCCAAAAAACTGTAGCAGCTCCTCAATCAGCTTTCACTTGTATCCTAATGGTCTAAAAATAAAAGGTGTCAGCATGCACAAGAGATAACACAAAACCAGGTCACTAGCCTAGGACACGTGCTGGGACCTCTATCAGAACAGACAACTTCCCTAAAGCTTCCTTGGGGAGGGAGAAAGAAGGATGCATCCAATGCGAAAGAATGAAGAATACACAGCACATAGACTCAAGTTAAGATCCAGGCCCGGTTATACCTTCCATCCTTTCTCTTTGTGAGAATGGAATCTGCTTTATAAGGACAAAGAGATCATGTTTGGCAAGGGTATTTCCAACATGCTCAAAAGAACTTCAAAAATTTAGTGTGAGGGATAGGGAGAAACCATAGCAGACACATAGTCCCTAATTTTGTAAGCTTCTCAAAGATAAAGACAATATCTTGCTCTATTTTGAATCTCCACAATACTCGGTTGATATTTAGTATTTAGTAGACAATGAATAAATGGATGACAGTGACAAAATGTATACATAAGTGCTCCCAGTCTTCTTCTTTCATGACCTCCTGCTAGTCAAAAATATTTTTCGTATTTTTACTTTCCACTCAGCTTCTCCCTCTTGTTTACTTCTTAAGAAGGAAATCAGTTTGGACTGATGAGCAGGGAGGAAAGGAAGAGATAAGCAAATACCAAGGCCACTCAAGCCAGTTTAGGAAATAGGGGTGCTAGTGCCTTGGGGCTCAGAAGAGTAAGACTGGGCAGCAGATGGATGGGATGGTTTGAGAAGACTGAAGAGGACAGGAAAGGTGGGTGTAGGAAATGTTACCGTAGTTTATAAATTGGATTTCCTTTAACATCTTTTGAGAGACTGTAAGTAGAAATTTGAGTTACTATTTAGTTACTTATGACCAATGAATTGTGTTTCTTAAATATGAAAATGTGCCCAAACTGGGCCAGGGGAGCCCTGTCTTATGGCTGGATCCTGATAATAATAAATGAATAAAATCAATAATAAATGAATAAAAGGTGACTATTTTTTAAATTTTTTTATTAGGTTATGTTAATCACCATACATTACATCATTAGTTTTCGATGTAGTGTTCCATGATTCATTGTTTGCATATAACACCCAGTGCTCCATGCAGAACATGCCCTCTTTAATACCCATCACCAGGCTAACCCATCCTCCCACCCAAGATGACTATTATGACAAAGAAAGCAGAGGAGCAGTGGAAGGGTGCCCAGGAATTCTCAAAAAAAAAAAACAAAAAAACCCAACAACATAAAAATGTGTTGGATATGGCATTCAAGTTTTCAGATATCGAAAGTCAATGCAAAGCAGCTAAAAGAAACCTTGAAATATCAATCCAGCAGCCTCAGAAGGGCTGAGATCATGCTTGAAAACAGAAAATGGAACAGTGAATTTTGTTTTGAAATATCTAATGAAAGGGTGGCCTGGAAGAGCAACATGAACCTGAAGATAGAAGCAGTAGAAAGAATGCTTGACTGACCATTTTAAAAAGGGATATAAGATATTCTAGTCTTCTGAAAGAATTCTATAATTCATTCACAAGTTAAAGAAGAAATATGGATTAATTTTACAAATACAGATTGCAAAATTAATGCAGAAATGGAGTAATACAATTTGGGCTATCAAGATGGTGGTTTAATCTGCTAATCGTCTACTAAATTCAGATAAATTAATATCTTTCTTTTTTCTTTTTTTTTAAAGATTTTATTTATTTATTTGAGAGAGAGAGAATGAGAGAGAGAGAGCACGAGAGGGAAGAGGGTCAGAGGGAGAAGCAGACTCCCTGCTGAGCAGGGAGCCCGATGCGGGACTCGATCCCGGGACTCC